CCCGCTGAGCAGGGATCCCGATGCGGGACTAGATCCCAGGACACTGGGATCATGACCTGAGCCGAAGGCAGACGCACTGAGCCATCCAGGCGCCCCAGGGCTTTATTCTCTAGGTACTTTTATTTTGGTGTGTTTTCATTGGTTATGGGGGTATTATCTTGCTTCTTACTCTGTTTTTCTTAAAATAACTTTGTATGGGATTTGACCTTTATTTTTCTCTTGCTCTTATTTATGTGCAGTGAGTTTTCTTGGACTTTCAGATGGCTACATGGTTATGAGTGGGTTTTCTAATTTAGAATAAATTAATAATTTATTAATTTAACTAATAAACCGTAGAGAGTTTCTTTTCTGTGTAATTATGTTGGCTTACTTTCTTGAGATTTCCTGGCCCCTTCCCCTCCACCATTGCGGACCTTCTTTTCTTCCCTGTATATGTGGCTTAAGTTTTTTTTTTTTTTAAGATTTTATTTATTCATTTGTCAGAGAGCGAAAGAGAGAGAGAGAGAGCAAGTGAGCACAAGCAAGGGGAGCTGCAGGCAGAGGAGGAGGCAGGCTCCCCGCTGAGCAAGGAGCCCGATGGGGGCTCGACCCCAATGACCTGAGCCGAAGGCAGACGCTTAACGACTGAGCCACCCAGGCACCCATTACTAAGTATATTTTAAAAAGATTACCCTTACTTAGTGATTTAAGAAATAAAAATTAGACCAAATAGAGACCATTTTTCATTGATTAAATTGGCATTTTTAAATTTTTATTTATTTTTTAAAGATTTTATTTATTTATTTTGACAGAGAGAGAGAGACAGCTAGAGAGGGAACACAAGCAGAGAGAGTGGGAGATGGAGAAGCAGGCTTCCCGCCGAGCAGGGAGCCCTACGCGGAGCTCGATCCCGGGACCCTGGGATCATGACCCGAGCTGAGGGCAGACGCCTAACGACTGAGTCACCCAGGCGCCCAAAATTGGCATTTTTTTTAAATTGGAAAGATTTTGAAAACAGGCTGTTTTATACTGCTGGTGGAGAATAAATCTTTGTAGCCAGTGTACAGAGAATTTTTGAACAGATGGTTTGAAATGTTTTTTCTTTAATTTAAATTCACTTAGCCAACATACAGTACATCATTAGTTTCAGATGTATGAAACATTTTTCTAGATATTTCTTTGGTCAGTAGTTTCACATCTTTGTACTTATTCTAAGAAAGCTATCATGGATATGTGTACAAATTTAGGTATAAGACTTGATCTCTGTAGTATTTGGGTAGAAAAGTTGTTCATTATTAGCTCCTTGATTTTTTTTTTTTCTTCATTCTCTATGCTCATTCAGTAATTTAAATGGTTTAACTTTTTAAATATTTGTTGGGAGTTAGTAAAGGTTTTAGTTAACAAGGGTAATATTTTTATTTTTTTATTATTATTATTATTATTATTTTTTAAAGATTTTAT